CTTCCCCCTTGCCCCGCCCCGCTCCGCCCTCGCCCCGCCCCGGATAGTGATAGCGACGTCCTCCCTCGAGTGTAGGCACCGCCTTCAGCTGAGGTCATAATCGTGGCACACCTCAGTTCCAGGCTTCTTCTGTCCGCGCCCCTTCATTTTTCCAAATTAAAGATGGAAGTGAAGGGCACCTCAGTGTTTCTGACTTGCCCAACTCGGGCACCCGCCCGCCCCGTGATGGGGAAAGGCAGCTCCGCGCTTCCCAGTTCTCCAACTCCGACAGCCTCCGGCGCCATGACGGGGAAGGGCACCTCCCCGGTTCGACTTTCCCCAATTCGGGCCCCCGCCCGCCCCGTGATGGTGAAAGGCAGCTCCGCGCTTCCCAGTTCTCCAACTCCGGCAGCTCCCGTCGCCAAGACCGGAAAGGGCAACTCCGCACCCCTAAGTCACCGAAAGCGGTCGCTGATCTCCGCCACGCTGGGGCAGGGCAGCCCCCCACCGCGCCAGGTGGACTTCACCCCTTTTTGTGGTGACATATTTGTACAGGGCACTTCTCCGCCCGCCAGATCCAGTGCGACCCGACCCGTTGGCGCCAAGCCTCTGAAGGGCAGCTCTCCGCCTCGCCGTCCCCGGGAAGCACTCTCCACCGGCCGTTCTCCGCCCCGCAGGACTTGGAGCCCATCTTCTCCAAGCGCGATGGTGGTGCAGGGCAGCTCTCCGTTTCGCGGAGAACAGCCAATGCCTTCTGCGGACGCCAAGAAGGCAAGAGGCATTTTCCCGCCCCTTCCAGCCCAGGCGACGTCTTCTGCTGGCGCTTCACCTGATAAGAGCAGCTCTCTGCTTCGCGCTGCACCGCCCCAGTCTTCTACCGGGATCATGGTGGTCAAGGGCAGCTCTCCGGGCTGCACAGCCCAGGCGACGACTCCCGCTGGCGCCTTTCTTGCAAACGGCCGCTCTGCCTGTCCCGGTTCCCAAGCAGCGTCTCAGGCCGGCGCCAAGATCCTGAAGGGCAGAGGTGTCATTAGCAGTATCCGCACAGCGCCTTTCGCCGGCGCTATGATGCTGAAGGGCAGCTATTCGCCATGTGAAGCCGAGGCGATGCCTGTGGACGCCATGTTTGTGAAGGGCAGGCCTCTCGGCGGCGGCACAGACAGTGGTGTTGGTGGTGGTGGTGGCGCCCCTTGCCGCACCGTGCCTTCGCCCAGCACCATGACTGTGAACTACAATCCTCCGCCGCCGAGGAAGGAGGCCACGGGTTCCGTGTCCGCTATTTGCCTCAAAGGCAGAGGGCTCCTCGGCGGGATCCACAGAGCGCCTTTCGCAGCCGCTGGGCTAGTGAGGGGCCCCTGACGGCTTCGTGGGGTCCCCTGGCTCGGCCCAGGGCGCCGGGACAACGAGGGACTGCCGCTTCTCCTGCTCCGCCCTCCGGGGCGGCAAAGAACAGGTTCGTCGGCGGTATGTACGGGCGAAGCTGCGGGCAGGCAGAGTCAGGGTCGGGCATTCGGTCTGTCCTGCCCCCTCGACTGAGCCGTCCGGGCTAGAGCGCGTTTCACGGCGACCTATGTGCGACCAGACCGTTGCTGCCGTTCCCCCGCGCTCGAACCCCGAGTTTGGTTTGTTCCCGCAAGCCGTTGAAAGAACTAAGGCCCACCGCTCCTTTGGGGTAACTGAAACGGAGCATTGTGAACTCCGAGGGTAGGAAATGCCAGAACCGGGATTTGGACTCTTCACCCCGACGGCTAGTAACTGAGAGACTGGTGAATGGCCAAGCGCCGTCAGATCCTCAGTTTTCCCTCTTTCCAGTCGCATTGTCAAGTTTTGGGAAATGCGACAGAATGCACTTGCAGCTGAGTGTGGTTTGGCTCACTGCTTCCAGGTCCTCCTGTGACACCGGGGTTGTAACTAACTGAGGGTTAAGACGGAGAGCACGGAAAAGGCCGGGCAGCGCTGGGACGCCCGAGGCAGCCGTGATGTCCCTGGCCCTGAGTGTGTCCCACCAAAGCCCGGGCATCTTGTCTGAGAGACAGGTAGTGCTAGCAGTCCTGCAGCGGGCTGGGAAGGGCGGGTGGGGGGAGCACAGCCACCCTTCCGGTAGCATTGCCATCTGTCCTGCAGAAAGTGGAGCACTGAGGGCCACTGAGAAACAGCAGCGAGGGGAGGTGGCCAGATGGATGAGAAGGTACTACCAAGTTTTTAAGTTAAATTATTTTTTCACAAATAAAAGGGGGGCGTGATTTTTGCCTTCTAAACAGCTGTTAGATTGTGCACAAGACAGTGATTTCACTGCATCTTACCCCATGGTCGCTGGGGTTTTCTTCTTTCTTGGCTGTACAGGATTTTGAACCCCGGGCCTTTGCACTGAGTGACATCGCCCACAGCCCTTTTGTTTCAAAATTTCTGGACAGGGTCTTGGATCTCCCCCTGACTGGGCTCCAACTTCCCATCTTGTTGCTTCAGCCTCCCTAGAGTGCTGGGGTTACACGTGCCTGTGGTCCCTTTCATAGAAAGCATTCCGAATCCCTGTTTGCTTACGTTGTTGTAACTTTTTATTGACAGGTGGTGACCTCCATGAGCCCATGGGACCGCGACCTCTGGTCCAAAAAAGAACGGGTCCTTCAGTCGTCGGCTCAGAAGCAATAGCTTCTGGTTGTTTCCACTATTCCTGAAGTAGGAGGTGAGCAGGAGAGGAAGGGCAGCAGAGGGAGAGGGAGAGGGAGAGGCCCTTCCCACTGAGCTACATTGTCTCCAGCCGTTTCGTTTCAAAATTTCGGGACAGGGTCTTGGATCTCCCCAACTGGGCTCCAACTAACCATCCTCCTGCTTCAGACTCCCTACAGTGCTCGGGTTACTAATGCCTCTGGTCCCTTACATGTACAGCATTGTGAATCACTATTTGCTTATGTTGTAACTTTTTCTTCACAGGTAGTGACCTCCATTAGCCCATGGGACTGTGACCCATGGTCCAAAAAAAGAATGGGTCCTTTTGTCTGAAACCCTGTTTGCTTACGTTGCTGTAACATTTTATTCACCGATGTGATCTCCATGAGCCCGTGGGACCGCGAGCTATGGTCCAAAACGAATGGGTCCTTCAGTGTTCGGCTCAGAAGCAATAGCTTCTGGTTGTTTCCACTACTCCTAACGTAGGAGGTGAGCAGCAGAGGAAGGGCAGCAGAGGGAGAGCGAGAGGCCCTTCCCACTGCGCTACATCTTCTCCAGCCCCTTTTGTTTCAAAATTTTGGGACAGGGTCTTGGATCTCCCCCTGACTGGGCTCCAACTTCCCATCTTGTTGCTTCAGCCTCCCTAGAGTGCTGGGGTGTCAAGTGCCTGTGGTCCCTTTCATGTAAAGCATTCCGAATCCCTGTTTGCTTATGTTGTTGTAACTTTTTATTCACAGGTTGTGACCTCCATGAGCCCATGGGACCGCGACCTCTGGTCCAAAAAAGAACGGGTCCTTCAGTTGTCGGCTCAAAAGCAATAGCTTCTGATGGTTTCCACTATTCCTAAAGTAGGAGGTGAGCAGGAGAGGAAGGGCAGCAGAGGGAGAGGGAGAGGCCCTTCCCACACAACCCTGCAGATGACCCAGGGAGATCTCCGATGTTGCAGTGAGGAGCCCTTTCCTGTCCTGCTACAGGAGCAGCACGGAAGAGTAGCAAGCTCATTGTTAGGAGCATGGGGTGAACCCTGAGCCTCAGGGCTCTGCCCTCCCTCGCCTCCCACTCCCTTTTGTGCCCACTTCCTCTCAGGCAGTCACTTCTCCCTCCCCAGCAGCCCAGCTCCAATGCTGGACTCGGCACTGACACGGGCCACACATGAAATATGGAAAACACCTTATGGTGGGAGTTTAAATAAAAAATGTTTATTTTGCCATTTGCCTAGAAGCAAAACTAGTGAAAATTAAAGTATAAAAATAAATACCATTTACATTAATGGACATTCCACTCAAAGTAAAAGTAAGAAGAAAAGTAATGTATATAAATAAAACTTCACCAAGAGCAAGACAGTCTGGCACTTTTATGAGGAAACTTTTATAGGTTAAAAAAAGTGGAAAACACATGCTTTTACCTTTAAATACACTCAAATTTTACAATCTTAAAAACTAATTTTACCTTTTTCCAAAACATACTATTTGTTTTGTACACACAAAACTGTGTCTATTTTTACGGGAGAGACCCACCACGATAGGAATAAGATGTATCCTGAGTTTTCCGAATGATAAAGCAGTTTATCATTTAAAAGGATAATTGTATGTACTTGGGCTATAAATAAAAAATTGGTAACTTAAAGACTTTTTTGGCTCTTAATTTTATGGTTTACTCATTCAATGATACATCTTAATAAAAATCAATTTATATCCAGAGTAGTTTATTTTCCATCTACAGCTGCATGTAAACGTTAGTTCTTTGATGGAACTGAAAATTGGAGAAAAAAATCGATCTCCGTATACTCAAAAGGGTAATAATATATATAGGCTGTACTTTCCAAACCACCAGTATCTCTAAAATTCGTTACAAAAACTGAATATACATAGTCCCAATGTGTGAGAAGCACAGATCCCTTTTTAGAAGTCGCATGATAAATTAACAGTAAATGTTCTCTTGGTAACATTTGTTAGTTGACAGTTTTACTGAAGATGGTACTGATGAAAATCTATCTGTGCCTTGAAGTAATGCAGTATTAACTAGGCAATATATTACTACCCTATTAAAAATTTGGATTTAGTATTCTAGGTAGCCCTTTATTCTTTCCTAAGCCAAGCATGCTAGAAAAGGGAGACTGAAGAAATAAAGTATACAACTACATAGAAAATAGAACTGCATGCAACAAGTTACTTCTACTTTACAGAAATGGATGCAACAATGCATTCTTAGATGCTACCAACAGGAAGGCTCTGAGGTCTTCTCTAGATCTGTTCCCCACCACAGACTTTGCAATCCAGCACAACCGTTTCTAACAGTACCCAGTCACACACGAAACCTGGCATTTGTGTAAGACAGTGCTGACAGGAATGTGCGCTTCTGACCAAAACAGTGACCCACGGCTACTTTTGCCTTCCTTTCACATGGGATCACCATCCAAGGGTTCACATCCTGTGGTTGAGTTAGCACGGAGTTTAAAGTTATAAAACCAGGGAAGCAGGTCTGCAGTGATTTCACTCTGAACAGGCCCATATCTAATTTGTTTCTCAAATCCAGCAATCACCGTGGAGATGGATAAAATTCACGTTTTGGAACTGATGTAGAATTTATCGTTATCTTTCCAGCATTTTGTAAAACTCAAGCCAGATGTCTTTTAAGTTTACAAAAAGGGTCTTCAGACATCTGCAAGTGTAAAATACACTTCGGTTTGACTAGGTTCAGCATAAAGGTGAACGTTAATTTTTCTTCATCCAAACCTGATAGAGGGGGGTGGGGATTTAGCTCAGCGGTTTGGTGGCCTGCCTTGCACATCCAAGGACCCAAGTTCAATCCCCGGTACCAAAGAAAAAAAAAAAAAGAAAAAAAAAGAAACAGACTCACCAACCTGCAAGAGGAAAATGAGAGAGAGGCAGGAACTAACCAGGCTGACCAGATTATGCAGAGAATTGCTCAGCCCTTTCATTTGGTCACTTTGCCTGTGTAAACCGTCCTAGGTTAAATAAAATGTTGATTCAGTAGAGAAAGTTATATAGACAATAATCCTGCTCCCCTTATCCTAGCGAATGTTGTCTTCTTAAATTGTCGCAACATTTGGCCGCCTTCTTTGGATTTTTCCTGCATATGCTCCTAAAAAGAGCAAAACTAGTATTATTTCTCATGGTTAGTTTTTCTATGATACCACTGCATAAGTGCTTATTATTTAGCAGGCATTGGGCTGGCTATATACATTCTCACAATCCTGAATCTCTCTTCTTACAGGAAGAAATTGTTACCTCTATTTTAAGGATAATTGAAACTAGAGACTAGCAGAGCTCTTGGCTAAGCACACAGAGCCAGAAGGAGAAACTCTTGAGAACCCAATTAATTCCATCAGATTTGTTATTTATCCTTTTTTGCTCTAAACCTCTAACCTCCCTTGCTCTAAACTGATGGTTTCTGAGTTTCATTATAAACTCTCTAGTCAAGCAGAAACATCAAATAAGAAAATATGTTTCAAAATATACTGCCTGACTGAAATCTAGTTTGCAAAAACTGTAATTTTAGATGCTTTGTGGCTTAAACACTAGAATTCTGCTTCAGCCTATGATACTCTATCCTAACAAAAAATTTGCTTAATAAAGGGTTCAATCCCCATGTAGACCAAATCCAAGTATAACTCAAAATCTATGCAAAACATCAACCAAGACTCAAAAATCTGAACAGAAAAAAAAATTTTTCAAGAGCAACTATAGATTGCTGTGTTCAGATTCATAGTGAGCATTTTAGTCAGCAGAGCAAATTGTAAATTTATGTAAAACACTAAAATCTTTACTCTCATTTAATTGTCTAAATACGCACTTGTATATTAATAAATGTTGACCAAAAAGCAATTTCTGTGTTTAGATGTATATTAATTGTACATGTTTATTCAAGGATTAATTTCATTTGCATTAATAATTATGTTGCAGAGTGAAACCTCAGTAGTTCTAAACCTGAGCTTCAACGACTGCCTGTTTTGCCCACCTTTTATACTTGTTCATGTGACTCAACAGCAGTAGAAGTTGCAAGTTTGCTTTCAAGTTCACAAGGGACACAGAGTGGAGATGAAATGCATGAGAAAAGAACACAATGGAGCAGTCACTGTGGCAAAACAGTACTCATTCCACAATGGTTTGCCAAGCAGCTAAGATTGATCATACTACATAAAATACTAACACGGGAAAACTGAAAGTTTTCATACAACTTTACACAGAACAGATCTGGTGCGTGGTCCGAGTTCTCTAACTGGTTCTCTCTCAGACTACCTGATTCTGCCAGCCTCTGGGGTATGCAGGCTCCACAATCATGTGATCTCCTTTAAAACAAGTCCCCTGACTGTCCTGCAATGATTTCAAAAGAGGACCTTGACATAATCTCCTCTCCCTCCCTCCTTCCCTTCTTCCCTCCATCTCTCTCTCTCTCTCTCTCTCTCTCTC